GCGCCGAGTGGAAGCATGCTAGAGAGCTGGTTCGACCCACATTTTCGAAAACTGAAGTATCGGATGTTGAGATCATCGGAAAACACGTGGATAGGCTCACTAAGATGATTCCTCGAGATGGTTCTACCATTGATCTCCAACTACCTTTTCGAAAGCTGGTAAAGTTTCTTGGCCCCCTCCCACACTAAAATCTGCTTACAAATGTATAGTTCCTTGACACAGCTACTGAATTCTTAATGGGACAGTCAATAGATTCTCAGTTAGCTGGTGATCCAAATAACTCAGCGGAGATACTTGCAGCGTTTGACGCTTCACTGGCTGGGGTGGGAAAACGAAGATTGCTCTCAAGATTCAAACGCTTTATGCATAATTTTGACAAGAGCTGGAAGGAAGCTTGTGGGATAGTTCACTCATATATTGACGTCCATGTTGCTCGGGCTTTGAGAGAAACTGATAATTCCGAATCAAAAGCTGAGGCTATGAATGCTGACACAATAAAGCCCACACGGTACATTCTGCTGTTGGAAATGGCCAAGCAGATTCGAGATCCTGTCGCGCTTCGATTTCAGGTCCTGAATGTGTTTATACCAGCTCGTGATACAACAGCTGTTATGCTTTCGAATACACTCTTTCATCTTGCGAGGAATCCAAGTATCTGGACACAGCTCCGAAATGATAGCTTGGCATTGGGCGATCGCCCTCTAACCTTCGAGGTCCTCAAATCACTTCAACTATTCAAGTACGTTCTTTTTGAAACCCTTAGATATCAAGGACCATCTGGACGAATTTACCGAACCGCAACACGAGATACCGTTCTCCCCACCGGTGGTGGACCTTCGGGAACGTCCCCAATTTATGTGGAAAAAGGGACAGTAGTTGCTTTAAACTTGTGGGGCCTTCATCATGACCAGGATATCTGGGGACAAGACGTCAATGAATTCAAACCTCAGCGATGGTTCGATCCCAAAAAGCAGTTTCAGTGGGAGTTCGTACCTTTTCTCGGAGGACCAAGGATTTGTCCAGCTCAACAGCAGGTGCTTACCCAATCGATCTATCTCTTAGTTAGACTCACACGAGAATTTACCATGATTGAAAATAGGGATCCGGTCAAAGAATATGTTGGTGTGGTCACAGCGTTGACGGAGAGTAAAAATGGGGTTAAAGTTGCATTCCAGGTGTAATTAGCTTATCAATGTTGAACATGACCTAAATAACGATTCATCTGCTTATTCTACATATCATTTGCCGTGCACTTCTCTAATCATGTCGTTATTGAAGATAAATTGAAGCTGCAGGAACATTCTTGCGGAACGGTTCAATATTAGTTTCAAAGCTTGAAGAATACTGGTCTATCTCGAAACCTATCACTGCCACAGGGTATTCAATTATTGTACCCATAATTTCAAGCATCAAATGGCATACAGAATATTGGTCCACAATTTTTTTTTCACATGCTCTTCAGTAATTCTTGATGGGGAAGATGTAGAGGATAAATTTCTTCAATAAGATGATTAATTAGGATGTGTTCAACAAGGCGAAAGTTATTCTGTACACCCTCCCAGGATCAAGACACAGCTTGCTCAATTAAAATTTCTTTGATATAATATACCAAATGTCATTATTAACAATCAATAGTGCCCTTATAGCTAGCTACTTTATTGAGAGTCAATTCATAGATCCTCCAATGGAATCAAGAACTTTACTTCAGTCGCTGTATGTTCTAAGAATGGCTCAGCCATTGAGCTAGCCATCTAGGCCATCTCATAAATATACCATCATAGTCTTTGTGACGATTGCGATAAAGTCTTTGTGACATGCACATCATTTGGAACAGAGACCTGTCCTGTGCTCTCCAAATCATACATGGCATGTGTTTCAATAGCCATAACATCGTCTGGTCTCAGATTAGACAATGAAGGACTCTCAACGCTTTGGTTGTCCTTGCTTGATTTCGATTTCTGGTATCCTTTGCTGTTTTGAGAGCCAATGGATCGAAGAGAAATAATACTGCGTACACTGCGAAGCACGTTCTCCGGTGTGACTTTGTGCGAAAGATAGTAAAGTGACGGAAGGTTGACTGCAATGCAGCTGAGACCTACTTCGAGAATGGATAGATAGATAGATTTCGTATTTGTTACTGGTGTCTGTTAGATTGATGATCTTTCCAAGCTATGCGAGCTCACGACAGCTCGGCACCTTTGATTGGAAACTGGGGGCTGTCTACTTACGTCTCGAGTCAACTTTTTTGGTCGCGGGTACTATTTATGAGGTTAGACTTTTCCAAATTATGTGGTTCTGGATATAAGGAGGGTGGATCAAGATGAGAAAATTCATACGATTGTCGAGCTCCACAAAAACTGCCAGCCTCGCAATGCAAGCTCCGAAGCCTCTATAGTATGATATGTTAGCTAAATCAAAACATGCCAGTTGTGATCAACACGAGCATCATTAGAGCTAATTCAGAGTGGGTATTGACTAACACAAATGCTAAGAGAAACACGCCAATAATAGCGAAACGACGTGTAAGAGTCGTTTTGATAGTTAAAATCTACAATTTGTTAGCGCGCGAACTCGTAAAATAAAAAAGAGCAAGAAATGTTTGACAGTATCTCTTGTCACAATTGCAGCATACCTGAGGGATGGGAAGAGCGATGATCCAGAAGTCCAGTATGAAATCCGAGATAGACAAACTCAGCAAGAATTGATGAGGTCTTGTTCCACAATACTGCAAGAATACCGCCTTGCTAGAAGTCCATAGGGCTGAGAAGTGAGATCCGCATGACAATCCAAGCAGTATACAAAAGGCTGCAACCCAAAGAGAGCATACGACGATGCTTATAATGACAAGTATTCGGAAGGCAGTTCGGCGCCCATGGTCGCAGAAGATTCGATAGTAGAAGCATAGTGCGCTAATCTTGACACACCCTAGAGTTAGAATTGAGAACAAATCAAAGGCAAAGTAGAGCTGAGCTTATGTTAGTTGATGTTGTAGGCAATGAGATTAAATCATGAGTACCTTTGACGCTATAGGAGCAGTTTCCAAAGCTAAAGATTTATCACTCGGTGTTGGGTAGCCTAGGATCTTTTTGTTTGTGCCTAATGAAAGAGATAAATAAGCACTGAGAGTCAATAGAATGTAAATTCGTCCCAGGGCCGTCCAAGAACAGTAGGTTTTATCTCACCATAGAGCGCAGTGCCACAGGTGCCGCCAAGCAGTAGCTGTGTATCCAAACTTCAAAGTCAGTCCAGGAGCAATGTAATAAGGTTTACCAGTTCCTGTGACCCGGCCAAACTAGCTTCGGAGACACAAAGAACAGTTACGTACAAGGCATGGTATCATAATCCAATCATCTGTTTTTAATGGCGCTTTTTGTACACGGCGAGAATAAAAGCGTAGAGCAATAGACACAGTCGAAAGTGCCAGCATGCTACTGGCAACAGCAGTCAGTCCTTCATGAGAGGTGGTAGACATGTTGGACGCTTCAACTCAGCTTCAAAACAAAAGCTTATGAAATGCTGAGAAAGATCTCAAAGAGGTGAAAGAAGTGGATTAACAGAAAATCTGAAGTGAAAAATAGGACATCTATAAGCGTTAGGTTTAAGCTTATTGAGCGGGCCTACATCTCTGCTGCGCGGATGCTTCTCCCGGTGCCGTGTAGAAGCTTATTCTTATCGCAATTCTTTCGAGTCTTAATCTTACTTAGAATTAGCCCGACCCCAGTTGGTGGTTTGAACTGTGAGATAAGAATCTTCAAGTCGAATTAAGCCTTGGGTCCCGCTCTTGAAGAATGGACAGACGAACATTTTATATGACACTAAACACGGGAAGTCTTTTCCGTCTCACGTCGTATCTTACCCCGGCTCGGAACTAGGATACCGACCACACGGGTAGGGGTTCCTTCAACACAACCATGGAAATAACCGAGGCCTTGTTGGTACCCCCTCACCCCCCATATTTTATTTAATTGACAAAACTTTGGGAAATTTGTTCAATCTCGACGCAATCCTACAAACAAACTAACTCTATAGTATCCTACTTTTCTCACTTATAGACTATGTTGTTCCAACGGTCTTAAAAACATACATATCACAAATTATCTCAACATCAACATTTGATTTGATTTTGCAATGGCTTGGCACCACTCTGAGCTTCCTCATCGGTTCACTACGCCTCAAATGCGCGTAAAAATCTCATGCAAGATTCAACATCTTCTCTCTCCCGGGGCTCATTTGGCCGAGAAGATCTTCATGACTTGGTCGAAATTCAGTCATCCTATTTATTCAGAAATTTGAAGAATGATACATCCATGCCTTTACTGATATGAGATTGTTGAGGGTAGTATATGTCAAGGAGCAATATAGACATCTCATCTCACCGTTGTATTTCCCACACTAACTCATGTTTATCGGGACCCGAGTGCATACAGGTTCAATTGGATACTTTCAGCTGCAGTTGGCTGTCTGTTGGAAAACTACGCTCCAAATTACTACCTCGGTAGACATGGTAAATGGATACCTTGCTTGGAAAGATATCAATCGAGGTTAAGAGTGACAAGATCTGTGTTGATCGCAATTGCTGCTTTACCAAACGGCAGGGTATGCTTGAGATTAACCTTTTTTGTTATTGCATCAACGTTGACGTTGCTTCACAGCGAGTCATCACATTGCAACTAGGATCCTCTTCAAACGTACTTTTACTTTGCCTCCTTGTACCTTTCGTTTACTTTTTGGAGTTGCTGTGACTCATTGGCTGCATCTTCTTTGGTGTTAGGCACACTCACTTCCCAGCGGCCGGTGATACATTTGCTTGATTAAGAAGCTCATAGAGTGTATTGAAAGTGGCACTCAACATGTAATGCTTCGAATTAAGATCTACATATATAAGTAGATATGGGTTCCAAGAGATTGGCACAGATGTATTCATTTGAAGCAAATCATCCCAAAAGTTTATAGGCCGAAACCAAGCTGTTCAATAACACGTCAGGTTCAACCCAAGAATCATGTTATTCTCCACACTTATTACTTCTTTTATGGCGGTCCTCGCAGTAGCAAGCCCCTTGAGACCCCGCTCTGGTACGTGCTAGCTCCTAAAAGACTATGGTTTACTCATGGCTTCTTTTTCACCTCATTTATTTCTGATAACTCTTTCTGACATTATATTCTAGTAAATGATGTTGCTGTCGATGAAGAATCACCTACTCCTCTAATTGAATGGGCAAACACAAAAAGAATCGCAAGGACCACTGCCGACGAAGAAGAAGCTTCACCTGCCCCTCTAATTGAATGGGCAGATACAAAGAAGAGCGCAAGAACTGTCTCCAACGAGGAAGAAATAGCACCTACGCCCCTCATTGAATAGGCAACCCCTAGCAAGGCTTAGATGTCCACCAATCTTGGATTCGGTTAGTCCCTCGAGCTAATGTCTTCGATCGATCGTTACACTACATACATCGCACAAATACTAATAGGGGTTTGAGTGTAGATTGCCATGCCATCCTTTGCTCGTGCGCAACAATGCCATTGAAGCGCATACGGTTTTGAGGTTGATCTTACCGCTTGGTTGGCTATCGGGATATAGGATGGATGTCGTCAGTCAGGACTCAGGAGGGCTTTCAATCAATGCAAGGTCTACTTTTTTCAAAGAAGTTAACAATTACCTGCTTCTACTTTTCAAACATGTAAGGCTCAAGAATGCAAACTATGTTGCTTTCACCAGTCTTTATAACATCGTCCGCTACTTTGATAGACTCCGTAGTTGCTTAGACTGCGCAACAGTATGTGCAAAGCGAATTCTGACTTTGATGAATAACCTGAGGAGAATCTATTCTCGGAGTGGATGGTTTGTATGACCTACTTCTATTTGATTTCGTGTTCTCATTATTTATCTCTCGCGTGCAGGTATTGTTCGACAGATGGACTGAGGTAATGACCAAGTCCAAATCTTTTATGCAAATTTCTGGTGGGTTTATTCTTCACAACATGTAATCTAGAGTTTGGTGATCTAGCGCGAGTAAATATCACATGCTTCTCAAATTGTAGTATGGTTAATCACATGGACCACCAATAAGCCATAGTATACCTTGCACTCCATCAGAGATGGTGCTATGTACCACTTTGGAGCTTGCAGTAAACGCTAGAAGCATCAACTGTAGCGTGGTTCATCAGCATATCACACTCGCTGAAGAAATCATTCTTGTAGGTATGGAAGGGGTGTAGAATTATTAATACTATGGATCTAGATTATATATCGATCCACTAAAGTCGTATCTTCCATATTTTCCGAAGTATGAGGAGAGGTCTTTTGATAAGTATTATTAGTTTTTCTTGGGGGGAGGGAAGAGAGTGTGTACACCCTGCTTTTTATTGAGAAGTTCTCAGCACTTTTTTGATCAACTTGTGCTTCGTCATCAATTCCAAAAATCCTAGACCCTCGCGAAATTCACGAAATTCGCCCTTTGAAAGAGGCCTGTATCATGTGTTAACGTGACATACCTGTTATCCCTAACACTGCCGAGCACACGCTTTTACCACGCTCCTAATATTTCCCACAGTTCAAACTTCCGAACCTCAAGATCCTGTCCGAACCAAAAACCAAGAAAACCATCCCACAACGCAAAAAAAAAACAAAAACCGAGTATATCTCAAAAATCGCGAGATGAATATACGATATACACACAACAACACAGCAAACCTCCAGTTCCTCTAGCAATTCACATGTGCAAAAAGTAAAAACATACAACAGCAGGGATTCGCTGGTGGTCACCCACCCAACTACTAATCTGCCGATCTAAGGCTTGTGTATGGCAGAGCGGACGGGATGCCCAATTCTCCTTAGTCTATGGTCGTATGTGGCAGAAGAGGACATTTGTAAAGATATATATCACGTTCAATGGGCGAAAGGCTCGTTGATCCGATTTTCTCGTTACTTAGTTCAAAGCAGTGTATCTGGATTGAGCTAATTAGATGGCTTGATTATCTTTCGTGAATTTCTATGATAGACTAAGTTTACATAGATATTTAACTCGATAGTATTAGCTAGGATGAAGTATCTTATCGACCTTGCCAGAGACAATAATAACGAGCGAAGCGAGAAAGGGGGAACCCCGAATTCCTACCATGAAACGAAGAGCAAGCGGTAGTGAATTATTGAAAGGGGAAAAGGAATGATGACTACGAATTTGACGAGTACAATCAACAAGCAATGAATTGGAATAATCATTGTGATTGTGTTTCCTGGAGACAATTCCATTTCACGCGCATCATTGAAGTTCACAAGAAATTTGTTGCACTTCCATAGCAGTATTTACTGTTCAAAAAGATCATAAGGGTGCGAGGCTTAATCATCTCAAAAACTCGAATATTTTCAATATGTAATGTACAAATTTTCAGCAACGTGATTCGAATCGTCGTCTATATAGTACTCATGATAGTACAAGTAATGGTATTTCCCGTGATTCATATACGAAGTGACATGGTGATAATTATTGGGTTTCTCTGGAATACTGACAAATATAAATAGGAAATTACAAAATTAGATACTCCAAAATATGTTTCGGTGTCTCAATATATTGTCAATGATATCTAAATATACGAACATGTGTAGGAATAATATTTCTCCTTTTTCATATGCACTAGCATCATATTAATATATTAATACGCATTACAGTTTCATCATAGTACACTATTGTCTACACTGGCTCACAATGATACAGCTAGCTTGAATTAAACTCCCATTGTCAACAATCCCACCAGATAATAACTCCAACTCAGCACACAAGATACACACCACATTATCATCAGCTCTGCTTAAGAACACAAAAGCACTGACTAAGCTACTAAACATGACTTTCGCCATAAATTGTCCTTACAGCTGTGTTTATCTCACGGATATGCTACTATCGAAATCGCAGCGATGCCGTTTCGCTTGCTTTTCAAGTATTTTGAAATCGACTCATAATGTGGTCTTCTCTGGATCTGAATTGGACACTTTTTCTTTGATTGAAAGAACATGTTTACATCTCATGCGAGGCACTTATGCTCATATCAATATATTTCGACATTATGATTTGGAGACATTAATTCATCTTTGAATTGTCGGAAATCTGCTTGCTTTTACAAGATGAACAAAGAGTTTTGAAAGGTGAATCCGACTGCATCATTAGCTGTGAAAGGCACGACGGTTCCACTCAGCGATACCTCTCGAAGTCCGAAAGAAAGAGCCCAACTATTTTGGGGGGGAGGAGGCTTGTGTAATTACCTAGAGGGCCTGCATATCCTGATTCAGCCAGATGGTAGACACAAAATTGGAGACAATCAAGATTAGATGTTATACATCAGCAATACACAGAGATTTGTACGCGAAGTGTGATCATAGCAGGCAAATATGGTGTCCCTTCAGCTCATGGCAGTGCCAAGGTGATGTCCTGCGAGTTTTGATATACAGACGGTACACATAGATATCCTACATCGATCTAAGTTCTTTGCAAATAACTTCTGACAATAATGACATTATGGATCTCTCATATGACTGATTGAAAGTATGGTACAACAGGATGTCGTGAACATCGCATCCATTGACGTCATACCGACACTATACGAGATCTTACGATGACATTGTGTTTCCCACCGAGGATTCCGAGGATTCCGGAATCCCCGTATAGATGAGTCTGCTTTTCTCCAAGCCATGTGCCTGCTCATGCGAAACCCATCACCGTATATTTCTCCCCACTTCTGTCGCGTTTCGCATAATTTTCTTTGGGAGACTCAACCCCGTATTCTGGGTGGGTCGTAATGATTGGGGTAATTTTCAATAAGATACTTCCATGTCCTATCATTCCTAACGATGTCATCACGAAGCATTAGACATATATACAGTTGCCGTGTTTCATTGAGTATCAGCCACACTCGAAATCAGGCCCCCGGAGTCAAGTTTCAAAGAAGACTACTAACAGATTATTACCATGAACCTTGAGGACATCCAATTGACACTCATGATACTGCATCAGATTGCGCGCTAGGATCAAATAATGACATGATAGCGAACCCGCTCCGGGAACTCACGCGCTTGTGTTGCCGTCACTATCGGCTCAGAAACATGATTATGGTATCCTTTAGGTCCCTATAGCGAAGCTTCTGGGACTTCTGGATGTATTTTATTACGCTCAATGCTATTCCGGAGAACAAGCCTGTTTGAGCGTCATTCCAGCAACCTAGCTTGGCTTATTATTGGTACATATCGGTAAATGCAAACCCTAAAATCACTTGCGGCATCGCTATGTCTTGAAAGTAGTACTATCTCTCGTTACAGGTTCTGCGATAGCGTGCCTCAGAAGCAAAAAAGTGTTAACGAGTATGAAACATTTAGATGAGATACTGGACAGCCATGAATAATCTGACTGGGAAGTATTCAACAGCATTATCGTTGAGATCTGCTCCCAAGTAGTCTGCCTCCACGGCAGTGGCCCTCAGTGGGCTAGCGGAGCGTCTTTTTTGAAATAACTACATTCATAACGGCAAGCTATCCAGAATATCGGAGGTATCTATCGACTAAACCTATGTAAATAGGGACTGACTGTAGATTGACCATCAACCATTGTTTGAGATATTCAAACACTATATAAAAATTAGAGCAAGAGTGAAAACTTGTAATCGACAGCGACACATCCAACTAGAATCTTGTACTTTATCACAAGTAGAAAACATGCAACTGTATATACGTAGCTCAACATCACCAGAACCCCCTAAACCTCTCATTCCCCAACTAAAAAACCCCCGCAACTTTCGGCATAGTTTCGGGACCGAGGTTTTCCAATCCCGTCCGTATTCATATATATTCAAAAGAGTCAAATTGATGATTTATGATTGCCACTCGACACCATCACATCTCTCACATCTCCGCGATGACTCCATCCATCTACTTCACGATCTCAAATAGATTACCCGATCCCTAAAGCTTGAGTTAAAATGACAAACGTCCAATTCCTCGCATCCAGAATGTTCTAATTCCTACAGGGCTTACTTCCCCATTCATACTGCATTCTACATACTACAACTTAACAAGTAAACATCCCAACCAACCTCAAACAACAATGTTCTATCTGTAACCTATCCGTATACCCGCGTCAAACAACTTGTTTCCCTCTCCAAGCCATGAAGTTCAGATGTTTGGACGGGGTGTCGAGTAGATAGATAGATAAATAGACAGATAGATAGATAAAGCTAGCCTCCGTGCTTTTTCCATTTTAATAAAATGACATGAGATGGAAGACACTGACTTCCAGTTTCGTTTGTAGGCGGTGGATACGGAATTATGGGCGCTACTGATGAAGCGAAATGAGGATACATGAATTGGATGGAATGAGCAGTGACATCTCCAGGTTTGTCCTTGCTCTGGAATGGGGAAATATTGTTAAAGTATCCACCCCTTTTGGGAGCGTACCAAAGGTACTGTTTCCCGTATAGGAAAGGGAAGGAGAGGACGGATTATTTGTGTTCAGTTGATGATTGATTGATTGATTGACTGATTGATTGATCGATGATTGATTGACTGATGGTTGATTGATTGATTGATTGATATTTGAGTTGTAGCTAGGTAGTATTGGATGATGGATTAGGTAGCTACAAAAAGTTTATGTGGAAGGAAGGAAGACCATCGTAATGAATAAGCTGAAAATCAACCTGTCATCCAGCGCTTCGCCATACCGAGTCCTGATTGCGATAGCTACATAATCACACTTACTCATACTCATACTACATACGCCGTATACCCTATCTTTAGTTTTCCCATCTTTAACACCGCACTCCCTCCATCTAGCGCTTCCATCCCATGATTCCCATCCCGCCATACCAGATACAAGTGGAACCTACCAAACTTCTCCCTCAATAACTATCGAAAGACAGAATCAAAACATCTACCAGAAACAGCCAGTTTAATCTCAGCGGCCAGGAATTCCATTACCTTTTCTAGTTGTACATTCGTAAGGTTTTCATCATTCCGTAAGGTTTAAAATGAACCAACGTTAACATGAAACACTTTTTGGCCTGTACTTGGGAAGGTTAATATAAAGTCATCTTTTAGAGAGCAGCATGGGTACCAATCTTGGCAAAACACGAGCTTAGGTAAGGATGGATCATGGATGTTTTGTGGATAGAAAGCTACTCCGTATAAGTAATCCGTGTGAAGGCTAGAAGGAGATCGAAGGCTAATTTTGGGGACTTGCGCTCGAAAGATATGCTAGAGTGATAAGATGAAGGATACGCATTTTGGAGATTGAGTATTTTATTTTGGAGGAATGGAAGAGAGTGATGGATGAAGTGGAATCCATGGTCCGAGACATGAAATTTCTCCTTCCTTTCGATTTCGACCAATTCCCGAAATCTCATCTCACATTGGAGGAGTGGAGAGCGCGTAGCTGGGCGTTTACAAGAGTGAAAAATCTAGAACAATCTTGTCTGTCGTGAAGGATATCCTAGAGGTTTTATTCAATAACACTCTTGGATTATAACTTATCAGTCCGGGGTGTTTGATAGGCGTTTGCATATTCAGGGGTAATATTTTTTGGGTGCAGGGAAATGGCTAGGACGAGAGAAGATCGTCGTGGACATGAGATTACTTTTATGCAGGCACAGTTTCATGAACCGTTGTGCGATGCGCCATATGTTCAAGTGAAGAGCTGTGCTGTGTTGTGGGGATCAGATTGGACAACGATGAAGTTTTGTTTTGTAGGTTCAACCGTTTAGTTCGGCGTTTGAGTAAGTGAACACTTTGGGCTGAAGAAGAAAGAATAGATCAAGGCGGTTGAAGAAAAAACAAATGCCGTGGCCTTATGATCGACCTTTTTATATGAATGATCAAGATTTGAGATTAGATTTGCTTTTACTTTGCCCTATTGCCTTATGAGGTGGTGATGCATGATGCTGAAATGATTATTTTAAAACACTGCGCCTCATGAACTCTACCTTACCTTGGGTTTGGTAACGATGTCATTGATTTCTTCATGGTTGTTGATACATTTTTGAAGCTTCGGGTGTTGTGAATGATGATGGCTGAGTAAATACGATGTAGAAGTAATGAGAAAAGGAGTCCGGTCTAAAACGCCAGTGGAAGCTCCCGATGAAGGGGCTTGAATCGCTTGATCGATAATTGACAAGCTATAGCACTGATACTAACAACATCACCAATCTATCCAACCTTTGACCGAGTAGACTTGAGGCTTTATCATTCGACGACCATCGGACCATGAGTAAGTGGACAATACATGACCAGCCGGTATCGTCTCAACGAGGGGTTTTCCATCCTTCAGCATCCAGACTGGGGAAATTTACACTGCATGCCGAAATGAAGCTTGACAGAAATTAAAGACGGTCAGATGAAATTGAAGGTCGACCACTGAAAGCTTGGCCCTCTTGGTACGTCAATTACCTCAAAAAGTAAATTATGAATCATGATTAATCAAAAGTTCAAGCACAAAGCACAAAGCAAAGCACAACACATCGTACAGAAAGAAAAAAGAAGTTTGCGATGTAAGAAGATCCCCTCTATCTAAGTTTGTCTTCACCAATCATTCCCATCTTGGCCAACAGATAATTAATTTCCGAAAATCTACTGTTACTGATATGTGAAAAGTCGTCATCACATCTACATACTTTTGACCAATTCGTCCAACTGTAATCTACTCAAGGAATATACGTACGTGGTTCAATGAATTGACAAGATGAATCCTGAATTTCGAGATACGATGTAAGACTATCGAGGTACCTACTTACAGTACATACTGTGTACATACATTGCGCGCATATATATATTGAATTATCCACAATTTGTGTTTTCATATCAGATCATACATACATACGAAGCATACATGCATACACACCTAAATACATAGATCATTCCATGCGATTCGATTCGCATTCACGCAGAAGAAACACTCAAAACAAAGAGGCTTAAATCATATGTCGTAATCATCCAGCTATACCGACTACGGGATGAACGATTCATTTTGTCTGAGTAGCAACTGTATCATCCCAAGATTCAAATTCATGCAGAAAACTAAAGGAGAATGTATGATATGATGAATCATGATCTTTCAATTAACCTTTTTTCCCTCCCCAAACTCAAAATTTCACTCAGAGCTCACATTGTTAGTGTCCGTTTTGTTTGTTTAGGATTTTAGGTAGTAAGTAGGTAGGTAGGCTGCTTCCACTACTGCGTAGGGAAAAATTATAGTATGGGTTTCACCAATCATCGTGGAAATTGAGTAGAGCAAGCCAACCGAATCCTTTGAAACGAAGATTAGTGCCCTTCAATTTCTCAATGCCTGCTTGGACCGGTTTTGCTCCGCCCATTAGGAAGCCAGAATATGATGAGAATTATGGATCGGAATTCATCTATTCATCTAATCACCTTATACGGACGGGACCGATTGGGATTGTATACTTCTAGCTTCCATACAGATGTGTAAACTTGTGTTCTTTGAGTAATGATTCTATCACCATCCGGTGTCATGATTCTTACCCCTATCTTCCATCTCATTGGAAGAGAGAATGGAACACGCAAAACTCTCACGCAACATCGGATTGTGATTGGTTCTCTTTGCACAAACATGAAGAATTAGAATATGACTAGCCCCTGAAAGAGATAATAACATAGCCTCTCAAAAACGAGAAATCCTCCAAGCTTTTGCGTTCCAAGGTTCCGATGACTTTCAAGGGTCAATTGCGGTGAGATCCTCTTAACGACCTGGGTTGTTAGCTGTACCTGCATAGCACCCATGTGGTTTGGAACCGCGCCGTCTGGGTGTAAAATGTGGCAAGCAAAGCGAAAAAAAAGTCTTTTTTTTCCCTCAGCGTTATAATGGAGAATGGTACCATACCATAGGAGCCATACAAACCCCCTTCCCCATGGATCCATCCTTAACACATTTTATTCTCCTTGGACCAAGTAGGTAGTAATCGAACCAGGAACCCCCCTCATCCATGTTCAATTCATAATTAATCCCACTTGTCCAGGGTTCCACTCATTATTTTTCTGTGCCCACCCTCCCCGTCCGTTTTGCCCATTTCCTTTTAATAATTCTCCTATAGCGAGGAGCACCGCACCCTTCCTCATCCTTTCTTTAAAAGATTCCTCCACCCTCCTTTTTCAACACAAGATCTTCCTTGATCACTACACAGTCATTACCAAGTCCCTTTTGCACAAAAGAGTTCCTTTCTCTATTTCCAACTCTACAGTCATTCTTTACCTTGAAAGCATACACCTTTTTGCGGAATCGACTTTCGCTCTTTAACACAAACGATTCATCACGACCACATACATACAAGTTTAACAAAAAAGAAAACATTTTGGGTACATAGCCATTCTTCTTTGGATTTTTCAGACACAATTAGGATAGCATTGATTGCTTGGGAATATATCGCAACAGGAAGGAACATATCATTTACGAGGATTCTAGAATTTACATTTATCCTTCGATATCAATCACCATGCATTTCACAGCTGCTTCCTTGGCTCTTTTGGCCGGAGTTGCCACCGCTTCTCAACAAGGTCACTACCACCCAAAGCGTATTAACAACGGTACCATCTCTGCCACCTCCGCTGCTGATAACGGCCAAACCACTTTAACCGTTTACGCTACCACCGTCCGAACCGTCACCTCATGCGCTGCTTCCATCACCAACTGCCCAGCTCGTGCCACCTCCACCGCTGAGGGAGCTTCCACCACCCCAGAAGTTATCGTCGTTACCGATACCGTTACCTTGGCCACCACTGTTTGCCCAGTCGCCGAGGCCGAATCTGCTAGCTCCGTCATCACTAGCAAGCACTTGACATCTGCTCTTGCATCCCTCTCTTCCGCCATTGCCAGTGCTGCAAGTGAAAGCTCTTTCTACGGTGCCACCACCACCGCTGCTATCCCAGCTGCTTCCAGCGGAGTCGTTGGTGCTACCAGCCCAATTGCTTCAAGTGCTGTCGCATCTTCCTCTGCCCTCGGTGTTGAGACCAGCCCAGCTGCCTCCGGTGTTGTTGCACCATCTGGTGCTGTTCCATCTGGAAGTGCCCCAGCTGGCTACGGATCCCCATCTGGATCCGCTGGTGTTGTTGCACCATCCGGAGCTGCTCCATCTGGGGCTGCCCCAGCTGGATCCGCTTCTTCCCCAGCTTCATCCCTCGCTGCTTCCTCTCTCCCAGCCGCCGCTGTCTCCAGCGCTCTCGGTGTTGAGACCAGCCCAGCTGCTTCCGGTGTTGCCGCACCAACTGGATCTTCCCCATCCTCCGTCGTCGTTCCTCTCGGAACTGGCGTCGTTTCCGCCATCCAAACCGTCACTGCCAACGCTAGCCACACCTTGACCTACACTCTCGGCTCTGGTTCTTCCACCACCGTTGTCACCACCACCATCATTGAGACCTCCGCCTCTACCATCTACGCCACTGTTACCCCAACTCAAACCGTTGCCGCTTCCTCCGGTGCCGGATCCCCAGCTGGTTCCGCCGCTGCTTCTTCCGAGGCTGGTGTCGTTTCCGCTGGTGAATCTACCACTTCCCAAACCACCACCGTCTACGGTACCTCCACCTCCACTCACTACGTCACCGTTTCAGCTGTTTCCTCCGGATCTGCTGCTACTGGTCTCGCTGGTGTTACCGCTGTTGCCTCAGGTGCTGGATCTGCTTCCCCATCCGCTACCGCTGGTGCATCCTCTGGAGAGACCACTGGTGAGGGATCTGGATCTTCCGGTTCCGGATCATCTGGATCTGAGACCTGTGCATGTGCCGAGGCCGCTACCGTCACTGTCACTGCTACCGTTGCCGCTCAAACCGTCACCGTTGTAAGTTTTTAATCACTCGAACACTTCAAAAACCCATCATACTAATAATCATCTCTAGACTGCCGCTGCCGCTGGATCTGATGCCACTGGTGCCCTTTCCGGTATCCAAACCGCTGTTGTCTCCACCGACGCTGCCGCTGCCACCACTGACGCTTCTGTCGTTGTTAGCACTGCTACCGTTGTCCCAATCCCAGCTACCACCGCCGCTGTTACTTCCATCCCATTCTACGGTAACGGAACTGTTGTTACTTCCACCAAGAAGTCCAAGTGCGCATCTTCTGGTTTCTTGACCAGCAAGGCTAAGCCAACTGGTGCCAAGCCAACTGGTTACTAAATTCTCTCTACAAAAGGAATGAATTTTGTATATCCTTGAACTCGATGTGATCAACTGCTTCTTGACAGCGAAGTAAGTGATTGTGTACGAGCGAAGATGTTGAGGTGGAGGTTTCCTTTGTTACTTGTACATTGTTTTTTTATTGCCAAATATTTATGAAGAGGATTTGAAGATGGAGCAGGATCAGACAGTTTAGAAGATTGGAGATTGATGTAAGGGATTGATATCAATGAAGACAAAATAAAAACCAAATACTTTCTTGTGCATTATCATTTTTAGAGTTTTATGTATGCGTTTTTTTGTGTTTTTATTGAACATTTTGCTTGCTTGTATGTTTTTGGTCATCAGGTTATGACTAACACTTCTATGGAGTTCTTGCATATGATGGATGGCACGAGGGATTTGGAGGATAGTTTTTTGCATAAGCGTCTCAATTTACAGATTCATGAAAGTATTCCTTGTATGCTATTGTGCAATCTTCTATTCTTCTCCTCTTTTGATGTGCTGTGCAGAACGATGCAAACAATTGAGGAAGTGTGATGTTATATTCTTGTAAATAGCTTGAAATCAATCCATGGAATTTTATACTGAACTCTATAAGTTGATGAAATGAATGAATAACCAAGTACCTGTGATTGCAACATTTGAATTTGCCACACGGGTACGAAGGATTTATACGGTAGATTGAGGACGGTGGAGGGGTAGTATTGATTCCTCCAAAGAATAATCATACCACACTACGAGGGCTATCATGTGGTACGCGATGGATTTAAAGCATTTGGCTTGATTACTACACTGCCATCTTACTATGGACATGAATCTGAAAGAAACTTGCACTCACAATTCTCATCCTCATCTCATCCTCAGATTCGTAATCATTTGTTTAGCTACTCAGCTACCTCCCACTCTTGAAGTAGGGTACTCGAAAACAAGTGAAACATGGCATTTATTGCACTGGCAATAAATTCCAAAGCGATAGGAAATCTATTCTTGGACACCGAATCCGAAATGAACTTTTTCTACAACGGAGAGTGAAAATGCAGAATGAAGAAATTGGAACGAAGAGATCGGAAATAATGTACTAGATCTAGTATGTACCCCGGAAGATCATTTGTTTGATATTCATCTCGACTCTCGAGTCGGTATTGAATTTGAGGGTCTGGTGTGTGTTTTGTTTGTCTGATGAATCATGATGGAATGGAATGGGACATGGAATCAGTATGAGGGTACCTTTTCGACGAATGAAAAAAGAGAAAGCGTATATTGCATACTCTGACCTTGGAAGTTGGAACTCGGGGCATGTATGATGTTGACATGCGGTGGGGATTTGTCTGTCTGGAAGGTAAGACATTCTGTCGCATGCATGTACTGTGGTATGTATGTATGTATGTATGTGCGTATGATGTGGGCAGGATCATGATGATGGATGGATGGATGGTATGGGGGCAGTTGAAGATGAGGGTCTGAAGATTTGATTGAAGGATAATGCGTCTAGCGGAAGAGCAATGATACAATATCATCATACAAACATTGAATCTAGAATATATTGTAGATGTTGGTATGATCTTGATATGATCTTGATATGACATTGTAGATGTTGATTTGATCTTGATGTGATATTGTGGATGGTGATAATATTCTTTCTTCTCTTCTCTCTGATAAATGTTCCATGTGATTCTTTCTTTTCCCCATGCCATCACTAAGCAAAATCGCATAATCGTCGTTTTCAGCCAAGCCTGATAATAAAAGGTTAAACGCCAAAGCCCCTTCGCATTGTAGATGTCTGGGACTTGATTCTCTCTCAACACCACCACGACTACCACCATTATCATACCTCGCCCTCACTGTACGAGTATCATGACTCGAAGAATACGAATTCAATCTTCACATTGGTCGCATTCAACCTTTACTATTCAAACCAGCCTCCTCAATTAAACTTTAATTTGTTCTTCGTGCCTACCAACACATACCATTGGATATCCATTCATTCATTCATCCATCCATCCATCCATTCATTGTACAACTTCATTTCACTGTTTTATCCAACGGTGCCTGCCTAGGTACTGAGGTATCCTACCCAACTTTCCATCTTACATTGCATTGCATTACCGATACATTACCACATTACCTTGTCCTCAATACTTCTGGAAGCCGGATACGAAAGATTGCTGTACTCTTTACTCTGTACCTTTACTCTGTACCCTCTACCTTCTGCTCTCTACCCTTTCACATCATTATTGCATTTACTATCTTCGTGGGACTTTGGGATTCAAATCGAATGCACGGTTCATAATTCATTTCAATCCAATACCAGGATTCACTCGACGAAACAGTCATCATTTCCAAATCAATCACATCATATTTACATACCTAGCTATTCATCACCAAGCAAGTAGCAACTACCACCATCTGCAACCTGCGAACACTTTCAGCTTTCAACCTCGACAAAAACCCACCGCCCCACCCAAAGTACCCCAACCATACCTCTACATATACACAATGCGTCGCGCATCTCAAGATATGAGCGATCCCGACCGTAACATTATGGAATCAACCGGTATGCCAGAAGACCCCGTAGACCTCGATCTTATATCCGAGAGGGAAGATTCCCCTTCAAATCGAATTCATACACCACCACCACGCATTGCTGCAAGATTCTATCGCCCCACCAATAATCGACGTAAATCTTCGGCTGCATCTTCGAGACGAAACTCCATCTCGTCAGTTCATTCACATGGCTCGAGTCGTCATGCGGCGGGCCACGCCGGTATGCCGGGCCCGCAGAGTAATTACATCGCTCAACATCTACGTAGAGCGAGTATACTTGAAGATCGAAAGGCTAGATTGGCCGATAGGGCAGCGCACGCGGAGAAAGTTAGGCTGAGGGCGGCATTGGCCAAGGCAGCACCGAGAAGTACTACGAATACGGAAGAAAGAGCATTAGCAGCGCAACAAGCGAGAGAGAAGAATTTGGCAGAGATTGTAGCGAGTTGTGCGGAGGAAGTTAAGAGAGCAAAGGGAATTGCGGAGACTATGAAAGAGAAAAGGGAACTAGAAGGGAAGAAGCTTAGAAAGGAGATGGAGGAAAAACTTGCCGAGGCTGAAAGGAGGCGAGAGGAAATCTTGAGTCGAAGTAATAACAGTAAACAACGAGGAAGAAGTTTGAGTAATATGAGAAAGAGTTCGAGTCCAAGTCCAGTTGCAGAGATCAAGAAAGCACCACTTACCGAGTCAGCGGCAGCAAAGATAATTCAAACTAGATGGAGAGTCCATAGACGTTGGAAGGCACTACATGATTTTGCAGAACTGGGGCTCACAATTGATGGAGTTCGCGAGACGTCATTTGAGAAAGTGGTTGATTTATTGGCACAAGAGAAAGTTCTCCTTAGTACGGCACATATTTTGAGAATCTGTGGGCTCAAAGAAGGAGAAAGCGGATCAGTCAATGAAATGACAGCAGTCCGAACCTTTCTCAGCGCTTTCCTTATCCTTGGTCACCCTACACAGGTTTTGAGTAGCAAAGGTGATAAAGGAGAACAGGAACAGGTAGGAGCGCAACCAATGAAGAGGGATGATTTGGCTAATCCACAATTGCAGGACCTCGTTGCAAAAGCCCGAGATCTACTTATTTCTTTTGAAACTGTTTTGTCTAGATTGACAACTGCAAACAATTACACACCTCCTCCAGCTCAGCTTTCGACACTGTCGGAAGTTTATGCAACATTCTTCAATGCTTTTATCGCTTGGAAATCGAGAGATGCAAGTACGCTTATTGATATGATGGTTTTACAATTTGTAGAATTAGATTCGATATGGCAAACCGTGAAAGATAGTACGGAAGAATCTGTCACCGATTCATATCGTGATGGAATCAGAGACAATCAACTTAAATTGATGGTTAGGATCAAGAGACTTGCTGGACCAGTTCAGGGAAAACGATTAATTTCAAATGCTATCCGAGAAGCAAGAAAGGTTAAACAAACCAAACAACCTACTGGGGATTCGAAACCTCGTGCGGCAGAAACCGGATCAGCATCTCCTGTCATTGAAGATTTTAATGCTTCCGATAATGCCGTTGCATCTCATTTACAAACCCTTACACCACCCGCTACACCTGTCAAACAACGTCGTGGGCAAGTTACCGATGCAGATAATCTTAGATCAGTTAATTCAATACTTCCAGACAATCGAACTTTGGTTCATGAATTGGCCATTAATAAAGAATATCGTATCTCGATGGAAGATTGTCTTCAACAGCGAGGGGTCGTTAATCAACTTATCTTCGATTCCATGAGACAAGAAGTCGCAGCTGGAAATAGTGATCCTTGGGTTCTTGCAATGGCCGATAACATCAAAGGCAAACTTCAACGTCTTCTTACTCCTGGAAATTCAATGTACAAACTCATTGAAGATTCCCTCGATACAGATTTGGTAGCATCAGAGCTCAAGAATGGCAGGTTTTCTTACGAAACTTTCTTCAATTTTATGGGCAATATCTTACCTCGATTATGTGCTCCTTTCCGGGATGACGAGGTCAAAATTCTTGCTGAGACTACTCTCAGAGAAGGTGATTTTGTCGATCGTCTTCAAGCATTGATGCGCTTCATCGATCTAATGCAACTCGATTATGCCAATTTCATGCTTCAACAATCGGCTCCTGAACTGATCAAGCATGCTTCCACATATGAAACTAAACGTTTCTCGGAAGAAATGGAAGAGACCAACAACGATCTTACCATTACCACAAGAGCTTGGCGCGAAGCTCGTCAAAAGGTTTATACAGAAGCTGCTCGTCGAGATCCGGAGAATGTCGGTTTAGCGAGAAACAGACCTACACCAGAGAAAACATACATTCAGATGCTGGTAGATATATGTACATCTGCACCCGGAAGCCCAGTACCAGAAACCTTAAAGTTGGACATGGCAAGAATCGAGACGGCAAGGAAAGATACTCTTCGAATCGTCACCACTTCAGCAATTCTTCTACAGGCCAAGAATAT